TAATTTTGAACATGTTCAAAATTAGCGCCACGAGTTCAGAGCTGCTACGAGTAGGTAAGAGTCCTCTCCGAGCTTTCCGAATCGTCCTACGAGTTTTTGCCGAGTTTGCCGAGTTAGCAACTCGGCATTCTCTTGTAACTCGTATGCTGAAAAAAACCCTAGTGGGAGAGGGGCTTAAGTAAAGTGCAATAGAAAAAGAACCCCTTTACCATTTCATTTATAGAGAGCACAGGAAAGAGACCAAAGTAGCTAATATATTGCAATCGTGATTGGTCAATCTCTTGAAATGAGGGAAAATCATTCAAGCATCACTGGCGTTAGCTCAGTAGCGTTAGCTAATCTGGGGTCTGCAGGTAGCGTTAATAACGCCAAGGACGTGGCGTAGTGAGTGGCTTTAACAACGCCACTGCCTAGTTCACACACAAAGGCGTACGCTACGCCAGGCTTAAGCCAGCCTTACGCCGTGTGTGTGAACATAGCCTAAGGTAAATGACCTTCCTAAGCTTGGTGTATAACCCATGAAGTTGGGATATTAGTTGCAAGGTATTATTTACACGCAAATCCTATATACAAATTTACAGATGGTAGTACTGCTACAATAGTTTTATTGCATATTATCTGAATTTTAAATGCCTTTAAAATTAAAATTATGCTCGTTTTATAACCGATTTCAAATAAAACATGATGTTTACAGGGCCCTTAGTAAACAGAGCACATTTAAACCTGACTAGTCCGGGTTTAAATAAGGACTTATAACTGTTACCAGAATAGGAAGCTGGCTGGTTTAAGCCGTATAACTTGAATTAGCCTTAGGTGCAGTATTGTTATGCAAATGAGCCAGATAAACACAGTCTGCTCATGCTCAGAAAAACAAAACTTTCCTTAGCCACACTGCTTATCGGCTAGGCGTACATCAGCTAGGCCTAGCTTATCTTATTTTTGTTTGTTACGCACCACTGACTTAGGCTGTTTGTCATCACTCCAAGATGTCTACCGATTCGTGGAAAAGGCGTAGTAAGTAGTAAGTATATGAATAATTTTAATGCACTAGTTAGTTGATAACTTCATTACCCAGTCAGCAACATGCTGAATGGGTTCTGTTTCCGAGCAGTTTCTTCTTTCTTTCTGGCAACATTTTAAAAAGGCTACTAATGGCAAATTACTAGACCGATTTAATTAAAACTTGGTCAGTAGAACAGGTGCCACCTCCCATTTATAATTATGTTGTTCACAACTTGGGGTCAAAGGTCACATAAGGGGCATTAGGGTCAAAACACCAAAAATCGTATAAAAGACTACTTGTCTCACAAATACAGTAACATAGCACAGTCTTGTCAATGGGCACATATGTATTGGCATAAGGTAGCTGGGTCTTTATGGTGTTCAGCGATTTACGATCAAAGGTCATTAAATGGTTATTCTTTTGTTCTCTCTAGTAACATTTCAAAATGCTACTAATGGCAAACCATTGGACCAAATTCAATCAAATTTCATCATTAGGAACCAGCGACACCTCCTACACCCCAGTCTGGGATCAGGGGTCACATAGGGGTCATTGGGGTTAAATTTTCAAAATAGCCCAATTGAGCTCAAATTTACTAGGAATGATCCTTAGGACCTTCTAAACACGAAAAAATACTCTTCACCCCATACTGTATGTCAAAGTTCATGGGATCAGGGGTCACATAGGGGTCATCGGGGATAAATTTTCAAAATAGCCCAATTGAGCTCAAATTTACTAGGAATGATCCTTAGGACCTTCTAAACACGAAAAAATACTCTTCACCCCATACTGTAAGTTCATAGGTCAAAGTTTCAAAATGTTACTAATGGCAAACGATTGAACCGAATTCAATCAAATTTGATCATTAAGAACCAGCGACACCTCCTACACCCCAGTCTGGGATCAGGGGTTACATAGGGGTCATCGGGGTCAAATTTTCAAAATAGCCCAATTGAGTTCGAATTTACCAGGAATGATCGTTAGGACCTTCTAAACATGAAAAACTACTCTTCACCTATATAATAGGTAAAAAATCACAAGGGTCACTATAGTGAAAATTATCAAATATTGCTAATGACCCTACCAAACATGGGGGTGTTCACAAGTTGAGCTTAAAGGTCACAGTGGTTATCTCTTAAAAAATGACTGGGTTCATGTTCTATTGAACATAGTATCTCTAGTTCTAATTTGTTTTTGGGTCTTTTTTCTGCATTTTTATAAGCGGTTAGACATGGCCTAGGCTTGCCTAATCATATCAATTTAAAATCAAATTTGTAGACTTACTTGCCTTATATCTTAACTTGCAGGTGATTTTATTTGTAGACTAGTTTGTTTTTAAGTGTGTAAGTATGACTGGTGATTTGCATGCCAAGTGAAATTATTACCCTTATTTTGCTTTGTTTTACTGTTCCGTAATTCTGCCTAGCCGATACGCAGTGTGGCCATGGTGTGGCTAAGGAAAGTTATGGTTTTCTGAGCATGTGCAGATTGCGCTTATTTGCCTCATTAGCATAACAATACCACACATAAGGCTAATTCAAGAAAGACGGCTTAAACCAGCCAGCTTCCTATCCTGGTAACAGTTAAAAGTCCTTGGTTTAATGTATGTAGTAAGCTCTTTATAACTATATAACTGTAATTACATATTGCAAAAAAATCTAAGGGCCATGTACACCTAATGAAATATTTAATTTTCAATGTTTTAGAAAATGCTATATTGTAATTAAAGATTTGTTTTTTGTCAACAGTGATTCTTAAAGTTAAGTTTACTTTTGGGGTTTCCTGTTATTTTGTGGTTGTTTTTTGATGTTTCCGTTTGAAGTAAATTCTAATGTTTGAGACAAATGAGAAGGAAATGAATTAATGCAAATCGTCAAACATAGAGGAGTGGGACTACAGATAGGCCATTAGCAGACTGGTACCAGTCCCAACCAACAGGTGAGGGTCCTCCTATGAGTGGCTTCCTAATTAACTCTTCTCAGCCACCTGTCTCTCTCTCACTCTCTGTCATTCACTCTACACATTATTGTTCACTTTGTTATAAAAACAATTAACAGTACAAATTATGTATTGAATGAAAAACTAAACTAACCAACTTCACCCGGGCTACTAGTCTCTGCACCAAACATTTTCCCAGGGTAGGCTGATCCATCTTCAAGGTATAGTGTTGCACCTTTCATCGCTGTGATGCTGTTGGACCTTTGAAATTCGCGCGTTTTAATGTTGTGAAATAATTCAGCACGTCACCTGTTTCCCGGTTGATTTTTGTTCACAATGTGGCGCCCAGTAAAATCGCCTCTACTCCTAACAGGTACCTTGAAACAGGCCAAACTTTCGCAAGTTGGTTCACTTACTTTTACCAAATGAAAAGTTAAATGGATAGCTTATAGAGTAAGCGTCTGAGTTTAAATAAAACTGCTTGACCAACAGACTCTATAAAATGAACTAAACAGCACGACGGCCATGCTGTTGTGACTCTCAGGTAGTCTGTAGTCTCTTAATGGACTTTTAGTATGGATTTCACTTTATTTTATTATGATTACACAGTCTGGCGGCTGTACCACAACGGCCGAATATCGCATGGAAGTAAGCCATCATGAGAAAGGTCAACCTTCTCTCTCTTAATGCCGTTCACTCCATGCACTGGTACGCCGAGTGATTTGTGAGTGAAAATGGAAATGGAAAACTAAAGCAGAATTGAATCAGTTTAGGTCTGAGGTGTACGACATTAACAATGTAATTTTAACAATAAACCAACAATTGACAAAATTCTATAAACCAACCAACACTTTACTTCAAGTATTGTGTTAAGACATTATATATATCGCGACGTCATGGTTTACTACTTTACAAGTGCAGGTAAGTACTTGGTTTGTTGAATGTCGAAAGCCATGTGCAGGCCTGCCTAGCACAGGTCCTGCCTACAGGCCTAGGCTACAATAAAGTACTACAGTAGGACTAAGTAAGTGTTGTATGTATTTAGTAAAATAGGCCTAGTAGGACCCGAGATATTAGCACTTAGTAATACCACCATATGGCATAGGCCTAGGTCTAGTTATGTAGTGGAAACAGAGGTCATCTTTTCCAAAAGTTAACTCTGGCCACAAACAACCAACCATCAACAATTCCTTTGTTTTGGTGTGTGTACGCCTAGATCTTGATCTTGATTAGGGAATTGAAAAACTCTTACTACTGCTGGAGTATCTCTCAATGGTTGAGTAAAGGGTGCAAGAGGAGGACTGTCAAAATTTGCAATTTGCTTGCAGAAGGCGACAGGATTGGCAGTTGCTATCGGCACTGCTGCAGTACCAATTTGGCACTGCCACAGTGTGAAAAAAGCTGTTTTGTAATGCTATCGGCACTGCAGTTTTTTTGGCACTGCGGTAGTGCTGATGGAATAGGAGCTTTTTTCGCATTGCGGCAATGCTGATAGAAAACAACAGCTTTTTTTTTTCACACTGTGGCAGTACCGAAAAAGAACAGCAGCTCTTTTCCACTGCGGCAGTGCCAATAGAAAACTCAGCTTTATCGCACTGTGGCAGTGCCGATAGAAAACAGCAGTTTTTGTTCGCACTGCGGCAGTGCCGATAGCCTCAGCCGACAGGAATATCAATCGTGGTAGTAGAGTAAGGGAGGGTTTTCCAGTCTCTGGCCATACAGTATTAGGGAATAGTAAAGTTGTGTATTTTTTCCATCTGTGTAGTTTTATTAATGTGCCTTTTTCATGATGACATATCCATCATATTTTAAAATGTCAAGTGCCCTAACGTCAATGACTTTCGATTCAACTCAGCCTTAACCGACTGGGACCATACCAATTGGCATATCACCAACTGTAGTGCATAACCAATGTTATAAATATTATTATTACTGGTTTCACGAATACACAAAAATACAACACTATAATCTCGATTCCGATCTTTTATTTCCAGACTTGTTCTCAAACGATTACAGTAGAACTGACCACTTTACTCCTCAACATAATGAGGCATAAAAAAGAATGTTGCATAAATTAACATACAAATGCCCAAATTAAAACCAAGCGGGCGAAAACAAATAAAGCAGTGAGTAAACTCCAGAGGGCAGAAAAAATAAAGCAGTGAATAAGAAGCAAATAACAAAAGAACAAATACCACGAACTACTAGTCAACACAGAATAGAATGGAGCATAGCGATTTGATTGAAAATAAATATAAAAATACGAATAAATACGAACTCTCAAAACCAATTACCTTTCTTTAAAAACTGCACATAATTTTGTTTTTCTAAAGGGATGACAAAATGATATATGCAAGATTATTAATTAATATGTCATTAAAATATACCATAAGCAGCAATGTGTTTAGGCTGTGTTCATCCACTGCTGGATGTAACTCTCCAGAAGAAATTTTTCAAGTTTTCTTTCTGTCTGTCTTGTTGCTCTGTTCCATGTTGCTATTTTCATACAGATGTGGTATTTCATTACTCCATCTTCTTTTTTGCCTTCCTCTCCTGCTTTTCCCTGACCAAGGTTGCCAGTCTGTAAGTCTCTTTGTCCATTAGCTTGCATTCTTGTTATGTGACCAGCCCATCTCCACATCATTTCCTTGATCAAGCAACAATTATTTACTTTAAAACTTTTTTTTTATTAACATAAAACCAATTTAAGAAGACATGCCTTCATTAATGCATTTTAGTGTAATTTTTGTCTAATTTTAATGTGTCTAATTATAATAACTAAAACAATTAAAATAAGCATGCTTTCATTCTTTTCTGTGTAATTTCTTTTATTTAATATGTAACATTTGACAGATTCAGTAACATTTTCAAATTGTTTTTATACTGTACAATATAAAAGCTGTAAATTACGATTTAGAAATAAAATAATTTAGAAAC